AGTATGAACAGTCAAGTTTCTTGTATTATCAAGCAAAAGGACAGTCACCACATTTTCTGGAAAACATACACCAAACTTAATAGCTAATACTCACAAATCTGTTGTCACATCAAAATCCAAGAGAATAGAATGGTATTCTTTAATAACTTGTGGTTCAACTTAAGTGGCTAAGTATAAATTAAGAGTGTGTGTGCTCAATACTGTTGATGTTTATTTTCCATCTTCTCCAATGGAGCCAAATATTCACTAATATTTGGCTTTGGAGTAAGATGGAGAAAAGGCCAGTTAGCCAATGCAACTTTCGATGCTCATCATGGGTCATCTAGAAACAACCTCTCTATGTTGTAACATAGGGTTCAGACTACGTACATCCGACCCCCCCCTCCCTTTACCACGCAATGGGCGGGACCCTTTGAGGCACTAAGATAATGTTGTTGTATTTTAAGAACGCAGGTAAGCAATTACTTGCTTAATACATTAAATAGCACGTAGGATAGAAACACCCGTGCCATAAGTTATCCCAAGCATGCTCTACCTTACCAACTAGCATGTCAACGGTGATCATGTGTGCAACTATGTAATGAATATTTCATACATAATACACAGTAAAAATGAAAACAAGAAACGGAACACGGAATAGAGAAGAGAGAGAGAACCTCTTAGTGCATTAAACAGAAGCTTCTCAGCAGCTTCTTGTGATTCCTTATGAACAAGATCATGAATTAATGACTTCCCCATGACCTCTTCAACAGACAACCCAACCAACTCTGCAACTTTAGCATTCCACCCATTTATCCGCCCTTCAACATCCACTGCAAATATGGGTGCCGTGGCAGTCTCTATCAACCTAACCATCTCTCTAGCAACAGAGCTCAGCTCATCCATTCCTTGTATCTCCAATTCCCCAGGTGGAACATGCACGACAGCCTTAGAATTGCTTGCCTCTGCATCCTTAAATGAATCACGGAGGATTAGCTGCAAAGAGTGAATTGCGTCCATTTCAGCAGTCTCCCAAGAAAAACTACGACTCTTAACGACTTCCAAGAACGCCTTGAAGGAAGAACGGGGATGCATCCTCTGTCCATCATCTTTATCTTCTGGGTGATGCTTGGCTCCACCCCACTTGATCTCTTTCGCGGTGTGGGATCGGAACCAGAAAAGGTAATCTTTTGAGGTTATGTAAGCAACTGCCATCCCGCAAACGGCATCACCTAGTGAGGCTGCTCCTGGATACCCGGCATCACCCAAACTATCCGTGCTCAACCCAGTGGAGTCACCGTGGTAAGTCAATAGCCACTCAACAATGTCCTTTATCTGAGCTTCAGTAGGTGTAACCCCCAGAGGGTAGTATTTCCCCTGGTAGTATAAGGCAGCCCCATCACATTTCACAAGGTCCATAATACTAGGGCTCTGGGTAACAATCCCAGTCGGGGCATCCCTTAAAAGCATGTCACACAACAGCGTTTGCGTCCTAAGGACGTGTTTCTCAGACAACTGTGATGCCAATTGGAGTTCCATGTTCAATTGTAGACCGAAAGCCTGCATGAGGAACTCACAAGCGTAACGGAGGGGGAAAGGGATGCATCTTGCAGAAGTGTGATGGCCAACCACCAAACCCCATAACCTCATTGAGTTTCTTCCTCCTATGGCTTCCTCGTCACTCCCATTGATAACAACTGCCAGCGTCAAAGAAGCAATGGAACCCATATTGGCCATGTACTGCGCATGGCAACCATGGGGAGCACGTAGGGTGGAACCTACTAAGCATAGTGGTTGCATCAAGGACTCGTCTTGGACAACTCGAATCGGGATGGCATTGCAATCGGCAATCATCCTAACCCGGTTCTGTTTAAACAAAAATCTGGATGCCTGGGGGATGTCGGTTGCAGGGTAGTGTAACCCAATATAAGGTTCTAAATCTGTCCTTTTGCTCTCAGCCACAACCTCGCCATGTTCATCCTCATGAAACTTATACACCATCACTCGGTCATAGCCTGTTAGCTCCCTCACACTCTCAACCACAGTGTCACACAAAAGCTTGATATCCCCGCCTGGGAGCGACTGCAAGTGGGAAATTGCCCTCACGGCAAGCTTCTGGGACTGGACAGCTCCGGCAATGGACAAGGCAGGGTCCTCAGTCCTAGCGGGCTCCAAGTCGATCACAATCCCAACATCAATCCTGTGCAGAATCGCGTAAAATGGCTTCCCAGAGATCTTGGAATGGATCCAAATCGGATTGAGCAGGGTGATCTCTCTGGCCCCAAACGCCCGTTCCAGCAATATCGAACTTGAAGGAGTGAAAACGTTCCGCACATCCGTTCCAATCATGAGCACTTCCGGCCTCTCCAGGCTCGGAACTGACTGCGGCGTTAAACCAAGCATCTCCCGGGCGTTCTCGCTGTACCCGATGACCCGAAAACTGGGCTCGTCCACGGCAACCATACACCCGAACGGCTGAATGTGGCCTCCTCTCTGGATTTTCGACAAGTAAGCCGTGATCTGCTTCTCCGGGACACTCTGGATCGTCGTCTTCACAGATTGGGAGTAATCGAACGACTTTCCGGATTCCCCGGATTGCTCGAAAACGGCATGGAGACGAGCATCCAGAGTGTACTGAGCTACAGCTTTGCTAACTGCATCGCGATAGATAACATTACTTGTACCTGAAGACTGAGCTTGCATCGCGGAATCTGGTTGACTTTGCTGCTGCATATGCTTCGACCTTACTTCTACAGTTATACCTTCTTCTTCTTCTTCTTCTCCGCTTACCCTATTATCCTTCTGCAGCTAAACAATGAGAAGAAAAAGAAATGTGTGGTTCTCAGTCACTCTACGAACTCATAGAGAATTTGAATTTCAGTTGAAAAAAAAAAGTTATGAGGTGACGAAGAAGAAGAAGATAGGTTTGATTTCGTCTTTTTTTTCCAGCAAAATGCAGTTTTTTTTTTTATTTTTTTGATGGGGGTTGATTTGATTGGAGTCATAATTTTGAAAGAATATAAATTATGTATTCCGTATATCCTTCATGGATGCATGAACCTCTGCCTGGGACTATGTGTGGTGGGCATATGCCCAGCTCTTAAATTCTATCCTAATTTTCAAATATTGCCATTTAAATTAAATAAATTTAGTTTTTGTTTGGAGGAAGAGAGAAAAAATAAAAAGAAAGAAAATGATAAAAAAGAAAAAGAAAGGGAAAAATATGGTGAGAATGTGATGTGAAAAAAAATAGTGTTTGATTTGATAGAAAATAATAAAAAATGGTGAAAAAACCGAAAAAGTAAAAAGAAAAGGAAATTAATTGGAGAAAAAAACTATTTTGTCAAATAAAACTTTTAAGTTTAAAACAAACATTTTTTCTCTTCTTATTCATTTTCTCATTCAACCAAACAAGTAAAATATTTCTTTTTTCACAATCAATTTTCTTTTTCCGCTTTTTCTCATCATCCAAACGGTGTGGTAGTCAACTCAAATACGGAGTAATAAGCAACCAAAAAATAATTAGTGGACAATAATGAGGCTGGCACACAATCGGGTTCTTGGATTTTTTGGAATTTTTTTGGGTCTTGAAAATTGGTTCAATTATTTTCGTCCGGCTTTGAGATTATTGGTAATAACAAAAACAAAAAATGAGCAACTCCCTTCTTGTGGTTTGCACCGAATTTATTTGGGAACTTTGACATTTTATTTTGATGAACAAATTGCTATGTCCATTTTTTTAAAATAAAATATTGAAGTATTTTATTTGAAATAAAATATTTTAACGTATTGGAGAAGATGGGGCAAGGCTGTCTTTTCAATTTTTTTTCACACATTGTCCCACACGGCGTACCATAATTGGAGACCCATTTACAATCATCAAGCTCTCATTATAGGGCAATGTACAACTATGGAGGTAGTAAAATTATCATTATTGATGGGGCTATGGCCTATTGGTTGGGGCACACGCAATTTTGGAGGTACTCGGTATTATGGGGTCCTAAAGTGTATGGGTCGCCATTTATAAAGTCCGAGCCCAACCCCTACTCTAAAGTGTCGAACCCAAACCTACTTTTTTGCGGTTTGGTCGGACACCCCGAGTCCGTGATCAGGTACTATTACATTAACATTTTTTGAATTTTTTTTGACTTTTATTAACTCTTTCCTATATACTTTTCTCAATTTGATAGCACATAAAGAGCCGATGTATTCGCCTCTGCTGAATTCGAACCTGAGTGAATTTTTCAATAAATTTTGGGTAGTGAGCTTTCTACCCTCAAGCCAGGAGAGAATTTCACATTTTTTGAAGGGTGTTGTGATAGCAAACACAAAACAAACAATGTCAACTAAAAACATCTCATGATGTATAATTATGTTATTATTTCAAGAATATTATATAGCCTTTATTAATTTAAAACAAACATTATAAATATATTTTTAGTATTACCTACCACTTATTTTACTTTGTTACTTTCCGAAAAACTTATGTGAGCTCTAAAAAAAATTTAAAATTTTTTGAAGTTGTTATTTTAACTATTCATTGATTAATATAACTCTCATTATTCTTAAATTTGATAACCAATAATTTTTTACAAACTTTTCATTTCTAAGTATTATACCAGTATGTATTTCTCTATTTTAATTTTTTAATCTACGTTGTTATTTTAAAAAGAAGTTATGTAAGTTTTATAATACTTTTTTTAAGAAAATACAAAGCACTATATAAAATTTAAAACTACACACCATGTTTCCTTTATATTAGTTTTCAAAAACAAAGTTTTATTTAAAATGTAATAAATGTGCATCATTATTAACACTACAACTTTTATTTTAAAAAATATCATGTCTTATTAACAAAAAAGATTTAGATAAAGGATACTAATATTCATTAGAAAATTAAAATAAAAAAAAATGGCTGGCTATCCTTTTCTAACATTTTTTTCTAAAATCAGTTAAATCATGAAGGTGAATGTTACTCTCCGACTTTAATTAACACACTCATTAATGCCAAAAAAGCAGCCGCTAGAAGACGTTACTCTTCCACCATTCTTCTCTAACCAATTCCCGTCTTGCAGCGCCATTCTCTCAGCCTATCCTTAACAAAAACAAAAACTCAGACAAAGAATCAACAAAAAAGGGGGGAAAATCATAGAGAAAAACCATAGAAACACTTGAAGATCCAGAGCACTTACAGCTGATAAATCATCATCATAACTTTCATCTCCTCTGCAATGCATCATCTGCATCTCCTATACTGCATGAATTCCCAGGATCGGTTTCAAGAATTATCCCCCATGGTATTATCATCATCATTTTCTCTTCAACGAAAAATCCCATAAGATCTGTGTATTTATTCTCTGATGATTCCATGCTTGAAATCCATCGTATCTAAAGGGTGTTCGTAACCGTAATGAACATCGTAATAACCCATATCATTTTTCTGGGAATTGTGAGTCCTTGTATTGCAACCAGCATCAACGCAATATCAAGAAATAAAAAGGGAGGAGATTTGAACGGTTTCGTTTTGGCTTGTGGCACTAAAAGCAATGCAAGCGATCCGGATGGCAGATATTGGATTCCAGATGAGAAATTCATCAGATCTTCTTCTCCGAACAATACAATGTCAGCCACAGCAGAATACCAAGACCCTTCTTTATCCTCAACTGTCCCTTACATGACAGCAAGAATCCTCATGGCAGAATCCGCATACTCCTTCCCAGTTTCCCCTGATTCTCGCCATTGGATCAGGCTTCATTTCTACCCTGCTTCTTACAGCAACAATTTCAACTGCTCTAATTCCTTCTTCTCTGTAAAAATCGGCGGGTTTACTCTGCTCAGTAATTTCAGTGCTTCAATCACAGCCCAGGCGCTCTCGCAGGCTTATATCATCAGGGAATTCACCTTTCCTCCTCTAGGGTTTCCACTCCTTAACCTCACTTTCACCCCTTCAAAAGAATACAATGGCTCCTTCGCGTTCATCAATGGCATTGAGGTAATTCCCATGCCCGAAATTTTCCATTCAGCCACTCCGGTTGGGCTGGCTCAGGACTCCATCAACACGACGTCTTACTGCATGCAATCAATGTATAGGCTGAATGTCGGCGGGCAGTTTATTTCTGCCAGCAATGATTCTGGGCTGACCAGAACATGGTACGACGATTCTCCCTACTTGTTTGGCGCGGCTTCAGGGGTCACCAGCAGGGCTAACAAGAGCGTGAGAATTCAATACTCCCCAGATTCTCCAGATTACATTGCTCCTTTAGATGTTTATGAATCTTCAAGAACAATGGGGCCTTCTGCAAATGTGAATATACACTATAATCTCACTTGGGTTTTCAGGATTGATGCGAATTTCAGTTATCTGGTGAGGATGCATTTCTGTGAGTACCAGTTGAGCAAAGTGAATCAGAGGGTGTTCTATGTTTACATCAATAACCAGACGGCGATTGCAGAGGCGGATGTGATTGGATGGGGCGGAGGCCGAGGAGTTCCGATTCACAAGGATTTTGTGATCTATGCCAAAGACAGAGAAGGCGGCGGCGATGATGATGATGATGAGCTGTGGGTGGCTTTGCATCCCAACGGAGACTCCAAACCCCAATTCTACGACGCGATCCTCAACGGGCTAGAGATTTTCAAATTGAACGATTCTAGGGAAACCCTAGCGGGTCCTAACCCGATTCCGCCGCCGCCTGTACCGGATCCGAACTCCCCCGGGCCCGGATCGTTCGCTCATTCGGACGCCAGCCGCCGGGGCATAATAGTTGGGTCGGTCCTCGGCGTGGCCACTGGCTTCGGCGCAGTCATCTGTTTAGTGGCTCTGCAGAGGCGGGAAGTTTCGGGAGGAGGGGGAGGAGGAGGCGGCGGCGGCGGCGACGGCGGAGGGAACTCCAGCGGGAGAGGGTGGCTGCCGGTGTACGGAAGCTCGAGATCAAGCGGAGGAACGACGACGTTGTCCGGAAAGAGCAGCGCAAGCAGCCGGATCTCGAACCTCGGCGGAGGCATGTGCAGGCACTTCAGTCTGGCGGAGATCAAACTCGCCACAGGCGACTTCAGCGAGTCTCTGGTAATCGGCGTCGGGGGGTTCGGGAAAGTGTACCAGGGGGAGATCGACGGAGGGAGCACGAAGGTGGCGATAAAGAGATCGAACCCGTCTTCTCAACAGGGAGCCCATGAGTTCCAAACAGAGATCGAACTGCTCTCCAAGCTGAGACACCGGCACTTGGTGTCTCTGATCGGAGCATGCGAAGAAGGCGACGAGATGATTCTGGTGTACGATTACATGGCCAATGGGACCTTGAGAGAGCACCTCTACAAGCACAGCAATCCTCCCCTGTCATGGAAGCAGAGGCTGGAGATTTGCATTGGCGCTGCGAGAGGGCTTCACTACCTTCACACTGGTGCACGGTACACTTCTTGAAAATATTCTCAATCTTTATATACGAAGTACTTGGTGCGTCCCGGACCGGACGGTTTGTCCTTTGACTTTTGGAACTGTTCATCTAAACACTTTGAGTTATCAAATTCTCTCAAAGTGTAAGCCTAAAAATAGTCATGTGTGATCTTGTTTGATTCGTCTTAACATATAGATTATTAATATATACTCCCTCCGTCCATTAATTAAGTTCCCGGTTTGACCGGGCACGCATATTAATGCATGATAAAAATTGTATTGACTTTCCTAATTTACCCTTAACATGTCTACTACCCCAAATGCTTCTCCACCAAGGACGGAGGGAGTCAAAGCTACCGCGGACGACTCCCTTGCAGCGCCGACAACGATTTTCCGGCATTGCCGCCGCTGACTCTCCGGCACCATCGCAGATGACCTCTCTTGCACTTGTAGCCACCATCGCCTCCACAATCCCCACCCAAGTAAATCTGTTCTGGATCTTCTCATGGAAGACAACACATCGGTAAAAGAGTAGATGCAAGGTTTTAATGGCGTAAAAAGAGCAGATCTAAGGTTTTGACTGAGGCGGAAGAAAAGATTTTGCCAATCGAACATGGGAGCATCAGAGGATTTGTAGATCTATACCATCACTTCCAGCAATGTCGAAAGAGGAGCGGATCTTATCGCCGGCTCGCTGCTCCATCATTAATTTCGATCGCCGCCTCGCTCCCAATCAATGGGTGGTAGGCCAAAATCAAACGGGGAAAGAAGAAAAGATAAAAGAAGATGAAGAAGAAGAAAAAAGAAGATGATGATGACGATAAAAGAAAAGAAAGAGGAGGAAGAAGAAAAGAAAGAATAAGAAGAAGAAGAAGAAAAGAAAGAAAGAAGAAGATGACGATGATTGGTGGAGAGAAGAAGAAAGATGGAGAGATAAGGATTGGGTGGTGGCGCTGGATAGACTTGCCGAGAATGAAGAAGAAAAGTAGGGGAGGGTAACAAAGTCATTTGATATAAAAAAACTTGCCAAAAGAAGTAATGGGAACATTAATTGTGGACATCCCAAAAAGGAAAGTGGGAACTTTATTGTTGGACGGAGGGAGTAATTTTTATAATTTTTTAATATACAAATTACAAGATAAAATAGATTAAAGAAGTACATTGGATGGTGTGCAAAAATGAAAGTGGACAAACACTCAGGGACGGAGGAGTATAAAATTTGTAATTTTGGATCTACTAACAACTACTAGTAATGTTTGCAAAAAAAAAACTACTACTAGTAATTAACAACAAATCCTGTTTTGCGCAATAACATGAAATTTACAATTTTTTTTAATTTGCATTTTTTATTTTTTTATTTTTTTAAATTTTCTCTTAAATTTTAAAAATGACTTTTGCATCCACCAATTCTTCTATTTTTAAAGATTAGTCTTGCCTTTTAAAAAAAATTAGCTACAAAAATAAGAAAAATGATAAAAATAATTAAAATCATGCAAAATTAATGAAATAAAATGATAATCAGGAGAAAATAACTGTAAACCGATAAGAATTAAAACTAAAAATACATAGAGTGATGGTGTTAATGTTTTAGGTACTATACGCATTATTAATGTATTACTACATATTTCCTCTCGCGGCAAAAATGTGAAAATAAAAATAAAATAAAAAAATATTTTTATATTAAAACCCTAAAATGGAAAAATAAATTATTTTCTTATTTAACGTAATTGCATTTTAGTTATTATGAATATGAATTTTTTATTAAGATTTCAATAAGAATATAATTTTTTTTATTTCTTGTTTTTTACTTTCATTTTATCAACGCGGGGAAGTAATACATTAACATTAGAAGCCTCCCTCCGTATAATTTTTTTTATTTCTTATTAGTTTGAAGTTAGTTTTAAATGATTATCTTTCTTATTAGTTTGATGTTAGTTTTTTACTTTCTTATTCATTTTTTATGTATGGTTTTAGTAATTTTTCTCATTTTCATTAATTTTAGACCTTTTTTACAATTTTGAACCAAGTCTTTCTATTTATCAACCTAGTTTATTGTTTACGTTCTCCTTTGTGCATGTGTGTTTGTTGTTGAGAAACACAATCAGATTTGAGATACATAATTTTAATTTCAAAAAAATTTAATGGTGTCTTTAATAAAAAAACGGGTGAAGTCATATCTTCTGTGTGACTGACTAAGGGTTCTGAATATTTAATAGGCAAACAATCATCCATAGGGATGTGAAGTCTACAAACATCCTCTTGGACGATCGATGGGTGGCGAAGGTGTCGGATTTTGGGTTATCCAAGACTGGCCCTACTCTGAATCAAACTCACATTAGCACAATGGTGAAGGGGAGTTTCGGGTACCTGGATCCGGAGTACTTCAGGAGACAACAACTCACAGACAAGTCCGACGTCTACTCCTTCGGTGTGGTCCTCTTTGAAGTTCTATCCGGTAGGCCGGCGCTAGACTGCGAGCATGTCAACCTAGTGGACTGGGCATTCCAATGCCACGCAAAGGGGATGGTTGAGACCCTGGTTGACCCCTATATAAGAGTGGAGATTACGCCAGAGTGCTTGAAGAACTTTGTCGAAACTGCGTTGAGTTGCGTGTCCGAACAAGGAATCCACCGGCCATCGATGGGGTCTGTCCTGTGGAACCTCGAACTCTCTTTGCAGATGCAGATCGACCCGGACAGCCCCAAAGTGGTGGCAGAACAGAAGGTCAACAACGCTCATGCCACACATGTCGGGTTAGTGAGCATTGAAGAGGAGAACGATGTTGAGGATGAGTCTCAAGATGCAATATTTTCTCAAATAGTGAATCCCCAAGGGAGATAGCTAGCTTTTAGCTAATTGGTGAATGAAAACGGGTGAATGAAGCAAACATGCATTAAAAAAAGACAAAAGAGTGTATTAGAAAAAAAAACTACACGATTTTCAAACGGAGAAGTACATACCCACATAAGTAAGGCCAAGTGCAAGTGAATAATATGCGGAGTATACATTTCTTGACATACCAAAACTCAGACTTGACAATAAGTAATGCGGTTATAAGCTACATACCTTAAAAAATTATTTACATAAAGACGCAAAATGGTAACATTGGCAATGCTTAAAAAATCAGACCAGACCAATCGCCTCAAACGATTTTACATGAAATCAGTTAAAGAGTTGGTTCAATAAACTTTGAAAGTCGGTCATATTTACGAGCGAAAGAAAATCGGTTCGAAATCGATTCACTCGGCAAATTCGGTAAACAAATAGATCGATTTTAATTGCTTGGGTGATTTTTTTCAATTTTTATTTATATGGAAATTTATTTCTAAAAAAATGTTATTTCTAATAATATGGTAATGCTCAAATGCCAAGCATTATGAATTACCCCTTAGGGTGTGCCGTATGGTGATAGAATCTCTAAGTGTATGACATGGAATGATTAAAAATGTGTTGAGTCGATGGGGTGATTGAGAGTGATAAGTGTGGAGTTATACATTAATTTGATTGATTAGAAATAAAAATACAAAATCCCCTAATCCGATGAGATCGAGCATCCCTACTGGGTCACACCCCCATCACAATTGGTGTTCCACGACGGAGGGAATACGACGGCCGATAACCACCTCCGACCTCCAAGTGGCGCCCCATACTACATAGTCTCATGGATTAAAAATTAAAAAATTATGGGAGGCTAATTCCTAATTTTCAAATTGAAGCAATGATGCTATTGATATAAATTGAAGCTTTAATCCTTTATATATATTATTTGAGACTCGGGCTCACAGAATGTCGACATGTGGCGGGTCTACTTGGCAGGTTTTTTATGAGTCATCCGCCACCTTTGAAGAGTTTAATGACTTGGCACTTTTATATTAAAATATAGAAAGATCCAATTCTAATTAATATGCCTAATATATACGGAGTACCTTATACGGCGACTAGAATATAATTACGAAGTAGAAAAATAAGAAGATAATTAGGCTGAGTAATTTTTAAATTTTTTCTTAATGTATTTTGATTAATTATAATGAGTACAATGTAAAAAAACATCATAGTTTTTTCTACTGATAATATATGTTTAATTTATTTTTATGTATATTAATATTTCCATTGAATAATAATAATAATAATACATTTAAGTTAGAACAAATTGAAAAGGTTAAAAAGGAGAAAGACTATTATAGACGTAAAGTATAAAAAGTATCAAAATTACTTATTTTGACTTCTACCTCAATACTTCTCCCTTCTAACTATTATTGTCATTTGAGTTTACTTTCATCTTTTTTTATTGTGTATTCTAACGTCTAACATTAGATAATTTTAAAAATAACTAAAATTTTGATTCTAGACATTTTTTAACTGAGAAAATTATAATATCCAAAGTGGACACTTAATCATATTGTTTAATAGAGAGAGAATCGTGAGTATTTCTTTGGTGCACCTTGAATGCGTATCATTTTTGTGGACCTTCTCACATAAAATATATTTTTTTAATTTTTAATTTATAAAAACAAATGCTTATTTTAGTAATAAAGAAATACTTATTTTGCTCATATGTACGTCTATGGTACACCTTAAGTCCACCATAGAATTTGTCGAGAATCATTAATATGTTTAAAACGAAATTCATAGATTGAAATAAGACTTTCAATGCGTTAAACCAACGATAATAATTTTAGAATTATTGAAGATATTTTTTGAAAAAAATGCATACGCAATGTTGACTACTTAAGTAAATTGTTTTTGGGGAAGCCTAATATAAATAAATAACCTTAGATATTTGAAGAAAATTATACTACAC